CATTGGTCTTACAAGGCATCCTTTCAGAGGTGATACATGTGACTTATGGTCTGTTGACCATGGCAAGTTACATGGCCATGACTAATTTCAAGGAAACAGAGAAGATCAGGGTATCACTTTTCCAGAAAAGGAGACTGAGAATATTGGTAAGGAATACTAATTACCACCAAACTCTTCTTCCTTAATAATGATTTTCTTGGACACCATTTTAGCAGGTCATTACTAGCTAAGGATTCAATACTGTGTATCTCAGTCTAACTCTGGGACTTGTCAGTATAAGCAGGTCATATATAATATGTTTTTAAAAAATCCTTGCTAAATACATGAAACATCTTCTAATTAAAGTAAATAATCATGGTGGCCTGTTGAAAGCATAACTTCAGCTACTGATTGGTGTCAAACTGCTACATACACTACAATAATCCCCTGCTTATAGAGGTGTATTTAGGAAGGTTAATTTTGTCATTTGAAAGATTAATTTGATCACAGGGTAATTTATGCAGAGCCTTATGATTTTCATTGGAGATTACAGTATGACCTTTTCCTCCACTTTTCTAATGCCCTCAGTAAACAGATATTAAAGGGCTTTTATTAATTTGATTTCAAATTCACAGTTTTCCCAGATTCTAATTATTTCTCAAATAGTCCTGATTCAGTAAGATGATGAATGTCTGTAATGTAGATGATGGAGATGGTAATGTATTTTTAACTTCTTTGGAAAGCTTTAGTTTATCAAAGTGAATGATTGTGATAATCATTTAGACTATTTTTTACTTTCCAGAGCAGTTTTATTTTTTGGTCTGTTGTTGTTTGGTTGCATGTTTTTGGTGTGGTGCTGGGAATCGAATCCTTCAAAGTACATTTTTCAATATCTCTGAGAGTCTCAACACCGACTAAGGAAGTAAGCTAGCGCAAGTGAAATTATTATCATTTGCAGATGATAGAACTGGAGAACAAACAAGTAACAGTACCAGTTGCTCAACATTTGACCAAAGTGCCCATGATTACACTAAAAAAGGAAAGGGAGAAAAGAAAATTTATCCTCTGACTTGGCTAAGGCCATGTGAGTTTATTGCAGAATCCTCTGTATATAATTGAAATACCACACACACACACACACACACACACACACACACACACACACACACACACATTTTTCCTGCCCTACCTGGAGTTTAAGAACAATTTGTGAAACTACTTAATACTTTGTTATTTCAGAATAGAAAGGGATGGAGAAATATGATATGTAGTTCACACATTTTTTCTAGGAAGAAGCTGCTTTTTTTTTTCTCTAGGGAAGAAAACTAAAAGTATATAATACAGCTTTCCTTTGTTGTTCAAAAAGAGTCTGGTAACTCTCTGTGGTTCAACCTAGAGTAACTTCAGAAAATGTAGCTACTACTTTGGTAGGAGTTTGCCATCATCCCGGATCACCTCAGTGTCCATGAGGATAAACCAACACCGTGCCAGGTTCCCAGGTCCTTGACTATTTGGACTTAGGGCCCTTGTGTCCACTTACTGGCTTCACCTGCGTGCATGATCCCTGGGGACTGTGTTCCCATGTCAGACTGCAGTGCGTCTGCAGTCCTCAGTTCAGACAGCTGACTTTCTGAGCCCAGCCAAGCTGGCAAGCCTCCACTCTCCCCACACTCCACCTGCACTGCCCTTGTTCTTGGTTCTTAGGACAGGACACTGCCTGGACCATTTACTTTGTTCCTTTCAACTCCTGTCTGTCTTCACTTCCTTTCCCACCTGCTAATCCCTGTGTGCCTGACTCCCTCCCTTCAGTCAGGCTCATCAGACAGCCAGCCCAGATATGTGCAGCCATTTTCCTTCTCACAGCATGCTTGACCCACTGCTGGTACAGGGACTCCCACCACTGCAGTTTGCTGCCCTTGATCAGTTCTCAAGGCCACTGCCATTTATATGCTACTGATAATCTCACCACCTCCTATAGAGAGTTTCCTCCCATTGCAGTGGTGTGTTGGAGCCAACTCTTCCCAGCTTATAAGAACTGATTGTTAAATTTTCAGGAATTTTTAAAGTCGGTTTGTTAAACACAGCCATTATTAAAATTATATAAATTTGCAGTTAAAAAGTAGGAACAGAGGTTAAAAAATACAAAAAAAAAAAAAAAGGACAAATACTCAAGACTCTCTAGTTCTTTTATTATATCTTACCATTATCTAGCTTTGTGGGTTATTTGTGTTCGTCATAGGACAACCAACTGTCTCTGTTTGCTCAGGACTAAGGATTTCTTCAGTGCTAAAACCAGAACAGTCTTCCACAAACCAAGACAGTTAGTCACCATAGAATATTGTATAACATGATGCAGATACTAGGTAATGATATGATTGTACATCTCTTCCCAATTCCTTGTTCATTGACATCACTTTTAAAAGCTTGAAATCAGCCATAGTGGGAGTATTTGTATCATGGAAACCTGCAAATGCTTTATATCAGGTCTTGCTTTATTTTTTTGCTGATTATTTAGATTTAAAATGGTGTCCGAGAAGCCCAGTGTGGTGGTGCATGCCTGTAATCCCAGAGGTTTGGGAGGCTGAGGCAGGAAGATCACAAGTTCAAGGCCAGCCTCAGCAATTTAGCAAGACCCTAAGCAATTTCATAAGACCCTGTCTCAACAAATAAAAATGGCTGGGGATATGGCTTAGGGGTTAGGCACCTCTGGGTTCAATCCTTATACCAAAAAAAGAAAAAAAAAATATTAACGTGCATTAAATTTAAGCGTGCTGTGTCTATAGGGATTGTATTGTGAATACAACAAAGTTGAGAAAATATTCCCCAATGTTCAGCAAAGAAGTTACTCAGTCTTTGACAGACGAGTGAAGTTCTGAGATAATGTCTTTGTTGTTTCACTTTAGTCTTAGTCTTTTTAACATGAAGATATCAACCAGTATTTATTTCAAAACTACACATTTGTGAAAGTAACCAAAGAATGACTATGAATCCAAGAGTTGGCAAAATCAAAGAAAACATTCCATGAGAATCAATTGACTGATGGAATTTACAATAAAGATGATTATATATTTTATTATTTGTAAACTATTTGCTGCACACCCTTTATGGCAGTTAAGTTTATAGTAAATTGTGAGTGTTTGTATGCATGCTATTTTCTTTTTGGAAGATCAGTTCTTGATGGCAGGGAATGGGACGATTTTGCTTCTAAGGAAGCCAAGGATGCTGCTGAACACCCTACCGGGCAGGGCAGAGTCCCTGCAACAAAGGATTATCTAGCCTAAAATGCCAGAAAATAAATTGCTTTAGATATTTTAAAAACTTCTTCAGGACTTGGGTTGTGGCTCAGTGGTAGAGTACTTGCCTAGCATGCGTGAGGGTTAGATTGTCAGTACTTCATATAAATAAATGAATAAAATAAAGGTCTATCAACATCTAAAAAAATATTTAAAAGAACCAAACTTCTTCACATTAAGAGTCCAACACTTCTAACTGGGTGTGGTGGCGCATGCCTGTAATCCCAAAGGGTCAGGAGGCTAAGGCAAGAGGAACTCAAATTCAAGTCCAGCCTCAAAAAAATAAGAATGGCTAGGGAGGCAGCTCAGGGGTTAAGAGCCCCTGGGTTCAATCCTGAGTACCAAAAAAGGAAAGAAATTGACAACTTTCCAAAATAGAGACCTTGCCCTTTTAAACACTGTATTATATTCCATATTTCATAGATTTATTTTGGAGGAGTGCATTAGATAAGGCCTATAAAGAGTGAGCATAATAGCTGGGTGTGGGGCACATGCCTGTAATCCCAGCAGCTCTGGAGGCTAAGACAGGAGGATTGCAAGTTCAAAGCCAGCCTCAGCAATGGTGAGGCACTTAGCAACTCAGTGAGACCCTGTTTCTAAATAAAATACAAAATAGGGCTGGGGGTGGGGCTCAGTGGTCAAGTGCCCTTGAGTTCAATCACTGGTACCAAAAGGAAAAAAAAAAAAAAGCATAATGCCTAGTGCAAGCAAGGCTTGACTTTCAGATCTTGGACTACTGACCTCTAGCTGCTGACTTTTCAAATCTCATTCTCAGGACTAGGCCCAGCCAGCCAGCCACCTGCACACAGAGCACCTGACCTTAGCTGTCCCACAGCAACTCCAGCTTCAGCTCAGCTGTACCAAACTGAACTCTTCTCCCACCCTCTACTTCCAAGCCTGATCCTCCTCTCACATCCAACAGATCGCTCAGTCCTTGATTCCACTGCCTTCAAAGCTTTTCCATGTGTCCATTCTCTTCTCTTCCCCACTGTTGCTGCCATAGCTCTAACCTTTAGTATGTCCCCTGGATTGCCACAGCAGCCTTCTAACAGGCTATACCTTGAGGGTGGCCACCCCCAACTCATTGCCTACCATGCAGAGAGAAGGATCTGGCCATGATACATGATCCTGCTGTGATCTGGTTAGAGTGCTCCTTACATCCCTTTGAAGGCCCTTCGTGTTCTAGCCTCACTTCCTCCCGCCTTTAATAAGCATGACCCCCACCCTCTAGCTTCTTGCCCACATCCATGCTTAGAGGCCTTTGCCTTGTGCCACTTATCATACATTTAATACCCTTTGCTCCCCTACCTCACCTAACACATCCGTCTGTACTCGGCCAAGATGATTCCAAGTTCCAAGAAGCTTTTCCTGACCTTAGGCTCCTTCTCCTGAGGTTGAGCGAGGTGCCCCTCCCTCAGTGCTTGCCTCTGAGTAAGCACTGGCTATAATTATGACCCTGAATTGCCTGATACCCACCTGACCCCTCTGTAGACCATGAGTCCTCAAAGTACAGGGAGCATTTTTTTACTCATGGTGGCATCCCTACTACCTAGAATATAGCAGGTATTTGGCAAGTGCTTGGGGAAAAAAAAAAACTATGATGATATTGGTGGTATTAGAGACTTGGCTTAATTTGTTGCCAGACCTCCGGAGGATGAATGATCAGGGAGTGAAGCAAACAACACTTGAAATTGCTGGACTCTTACCCATTTGTCTTGTCACTTACAGCCAGATGAAAATTCCCTGGATTTTTCTTCTTGTATGCTGCGACCTGGGATTAAAAATGCTCAGGAACTTGCTTGTGGGGTGTGCCTCTTAAATGTGGATTCTAGGAGCCGGGTAAGTCATATGCCTTCCAAAGAGGGCAGAGTGCTTCCCTAACTTGACCTGGGTGACAGCGTCATGTAGCATGCTTCAGTGCAAGGTTTGTGACTACAGGTGGGGATTTGAAAAAATCGTGAAAGCCAAGGTAATAGGGAATACCTTTCTTTCCAAGGGCAGTCGGGGGTGCTGTTGAAGGAGCAGATGTGGTCCTTCCCTTTCTAATAAGCATGCTGTCTGCATTGCACCCTGGGGTGGAAAAGAGGAAAGGTTTCCTATGAGGATTTATGTGGAGGCAAGAAGCCCTGTTTTGGGGTTTTTTTTTTTTTGACTTTATGGTTTCAACATTATTTCAGAAAGAAGAGAAGCCTGCAGAAGAACATCCTAAAAAAGTATGAACAAGTTACACATTATCTTAGCGTGTCCATCTTAATTTTGAGTGTGGAAGGCAAACAGACGATTCTGTTGCCATCCTGGACCGTTCCAATCATGATCCTTTACTGAGTCATCTCTGTTCCCATAATGTTTGATTGAATCAACTAACATATCTGTGTGGACCACTGCTGTCTTGTTTGCATGCTTGTGTCTCATAATTGGCTTCTGGTGTTATAGCTATTTTTCTCTGCAGTGAACAGGGTAACAGAATGAGCAACTTCTGGAAGACTGGAAGTTGTATGACACACAGAATAAGATCAGAGAGCTTCAGGAATTAACTGTTAACAGACAAAAACAAATCCATGGGTTTTAGAGTTTTATTTACTTACTTTTAGCATTTTAGGAAACTAATCACAGGGAGTGGTCCAGGTTGGTACTACTTTTCCCCAGTTGACTATAACCTACCTTTAGAAATCACTAATCTGGAAATAAGTCTTGTGAGTTTGAAGTTCATTATTATTTTTTTTTTTTGAGAGAAAGAGAGGGGGAGAGAGAGAGAGAGAGAGAGAGAGAATTTTTAATATTTATTTTTTAGTTTTTGGTGGACACAACATCTTTGTTTGTATGTGGTACTGAGGATCGAACCCGGGCCACACGCATGCCAGGCGAGTGCGCTACTGCTTGAGCCACATCCCCAGCCCTGAAGTTCATTATTTTTTATAACCCCTATACCTGTTGGGACTTTTTAACTACAGTAGTCTCCCCTTGTTCTAAAGGAATATGTTCCAAGACACCCAGGGGATACCTGAAACCTCAGATAGTACTGAGCCCAACATATGCCATGTTTTTTTCTATATGCACATACCTATGATAAAGTTTAATGTAAGAGAATGGTTACAATAACAAAATAATTATAGCAATACACTATAATAAGTCAGGTGAATGTGGTTTCGCTCTCTCAAAAGAGTGAGGATGGGTGTTCATTTTGTGGAACCACAGTTCACTGTGGATAACGGAAACTGCAGAATGCAGAACTGCAAATAAGAGGGACTGTTCCTATTGGCATTAGACCTAAGAGTTGTTGATTCTTTTCTAACTCTCCTATAATTTTTCTGCCATAAATGGACTGTAATCAGCCACAGAATTTTAAGGGGTTACAATTAGAGGGCATCCTTCAGCACAATAAGGGATGGCAATTATCTGTGGCCGTTGGCAATTTTAGTTCCGTGTCATGATCTCTCCCCAATCCCCACAGCCTCTGTCTGCCTTTTCTAGGAAAGACTTGGCCTTCTTTTGCTGAAACTAGGTTGAATAGTAACAATTTTTCTACCTTTAATTAGCAGTAAACAACTTTGTTACTTGAATTCCCATAGCTACTTTCTCAGCTTTTGTGTGTGTGCCATTCAGGCCTCAGCCTCTGTGACACCTGGTGAGGTGTATGTGTTGGTTGCTAATAAGCACTTGAGAGCAGAAAACACCTGACTTGCCCCACATCTCTGTTTCCGGCAGGCGTTCAACTCAGAAACAGACAGTTTCAAGCTGGCCTACGGAGGGCACCAGTATCACGCCAGCTGTGCAAACTTCTGGATCAACTGTGTTGAACCAAAGCCTCCTGGTCTCATCCTGCCTGACTTGCTCTGAAAAGGTCCTTTAGGAAGCACTGTTTTGTTTTTGTGTTTTTTCTGTCACACCTCTGAGGGTGACAGGGTCAATAAACAGAATATGAGTACTGCAAGGTTCACCTGCATGGATCTATGAATTCCCCAAGAGGTAAAGAAAACGCAATAGAAGTTCCCCGTCATTCCTATACACCACCTTTGATCTCTGATTCCTACTGCCAGTCTCTTGGATTTGAGATAAAATTGCCTACCTAAACCACATGTGACAACAGAAGTTCACGCACTTATTTCTAGTTCTCTTAAAGATGTTTGAAAATATGGACCACAGTTTTCTTTAAAGAATGTTTTGCTGCTGCAGTACTGAAACTGTGAAGAATTCAACATTTGAAGAAAAATAACTTATTGTGTACTGGTATTGGCAGGACTGTTCAAGCCAGTGCTTATTTTATATCTAGAACACGTGGTCCTGTGAAGTAGAACGCATTTCTCTGCACTTGGTTTGTAAATATCTGTAATGAATAAACTGGAAATTGTGATTAAACTGATACTCTATGTTCTTAAAGAAAAAAACTTTGCTCATCTCCATTGGACAGTAGCAGGCAGTGAAGGCAGATGTACCATCTTTGTTGTCACAACTGAACCTCTGACCCTTGTCACCTTTCAAGAAAACTCTTTCCCAAAACATGCCTGAGTCCTTTGCAGTGGAGAGGAGCATCCACTTCTGACAGAGGCCCATCAGGATAAATATGCTTCCCCTTTGAAGCCTTCATTGAAAACCATTTTTTGCCCCACAAAAAGGCTAGTTATTTTTCCAGACAAGATCTGGAAAGGCTGAAACAAAATCTCTCTGCAGTGGCATCTCTCCACATTTCCAAAGATGACTGCATAGGGGCCAGCACTGCATATCTGTGAGAGATCTGAAAATTAACTCAGGGTGAGAGAGGAACTCCCAGCCTAGTGAACAGGATAGTAAGATACATGTCTATTTATGGTAGAGATACATGCCGTAGAAGCATGGAAGGAAACTGTTCATCAACCTCACTAAATTTTAGAAGGAAGAGGCTCATGTTCTCTGGTGTAAGATTTTCTTTGCCGCTTATACCGAATGCATAAAATCAGAGGACCCAGAGCCAAATGTTAAAGGCTGTTATTTCTAGGAAGAATGGACCAATCTAGGACACACATTTCTCTGTTGCTTTTGTGCTCCATGAAGACATTTTGAATCTAGTATGTTTCACTTTGTATGACTTAGGCTTTCTGACCTAGGCTTGTTTTTTATTTGTAAACTTTGAGAAGGTTGCATTTTTTTGTCTGGATATCTGCTGTTTTTACATAATTGTTTTCTCTTTTTGGGACAAAACTTGGAGGAATTGTGCTGTTTCATCTTACACCTTTTACATATTCTTTAAGAAAGTCGTAGAACATTTTAAACAGCTGTTGATGTGGCTTCTGCTTTATCCTACTGTATACAGGGTGCACAGAGAAGTGTTGATGAGATAAGTCTGTTTTTCTCATTTGCTCTGAATGACGCCATCTCCAGCTATTTATAACTGAGATGGCTGTCTGAATTGTCACCTAGAGCCTTCTGCCTTTGCAAGGTGAGTGTGGTGTTTGTAACGGGACAGGTGAGCTGGTGTTTAGCAGACTTCCTGAGGTCTCTGCCCCACTTCATCCTGGACTGCAACAGTTTTCATTATGGCACTAAAATAACACGCAGGCTTAACTGTCTTGCAGACTCCATAATAGAATCTACCTTAGCAAGAATGTTTCCCAGTTTGATGGAATTTATATTGCTGAAGTACTTTGGGGAGAAGGCTGTATGGACACAGTGGCCTATGTCAATGATATTTTTTAAAGTACCTGTTCACTAGATTGGTTTCCCTTCCTAGATTGACTCCAGAATGCATCAGATTAAATTCCTGCATATAATCACAGCTGTGTTTATCAAGTGTGATAGGTTCAGTGACTCTTTGGGAGGTGCCAGAAGAAAATTCAGTAGATGTCAACAAAAACCTTTTGTTATGAAAAGTGTTCACTACTTTTAATATCTGCTTTAATACTTGAAGTGTTTAGTTATCTGCCACCAATAAGGATTCGCTAAGTGTGGAATACCATCAGGCTGATTTTTCTTTGTACATGTTTGTTAAAATGACTCATCTTTGCGTTCAGCCTCACCTCGGCTCCTGTTAGCCAAGAGCCCAGTGTCCTTGGAAACAGTAACCAAGGTTACTTATTTCCATACTGTGTATTGTGTCGGGCAGCTTCACCCCGCTGCTTGAATGGTGATTAATAAGCACTTTTCTTTTTGGCATTGCATTTTAGCTTTAAAATTTCTATGGCTTATTGTGTAATTTAACTTTTGTCTGGACACGCTTGAGATAGAAAAAGTACAAGGTATACTAGGACAGTTTCCATGTTTTTCCTATGGTTACTAGTTAACATTATATATGGGTTGCATATTCTAAATTATTTGAATATTTTGTATATATACACATATTGTGGGCACTTTGGGTGTTTTGTTTTTTGGTCTGATTTGTTTAAAGATATGTTCTACTTTCCTATTTAATTAGCATGTTCCTAAAGCTATAAAAAGATTATGAGGAGCTATATAACCTATACGTTTGAAATGCTTGCTCTGTACTGGGACCACTATGAAAATTCCCCTTTATACCTTCTAGGTCAACCACGTTACTTTGTGTGAACAGCTAATAAACTGACATTTTCAAAGATATTTGCCATTTAGAAGGGAGCATTATAGTCTGTTGTAGACCATTCTGGCAAATGTTAGAATGCAGGGCAGGATGAGTTTAGCCTATTTTGTTTAGGTTGGGGAGTATTTCTTTGGAGAAGTATGGGCCAAAAAAAATATTGAAAAGCCCTTAGGTCAAGCTGAAAAAAAAAAAAAAAATCTTAAATAGCCCTAGGGTGAAAAATGCCACTTTACAAATACCTTTCTAACAAAATATATCAAAATTTTTACTTAAGTCCATTCTTCATGTTGATGTGTAAGAAAGTGGGTTTTTTTTTTTTTTTTTTTTGAAAAAGCATTTATGGGGGTGCATCTCATTATTTTGTAGTGGTGGCCATATTAACTAGTGCTGCACATCCATAGTGAAATGAGTTGGGTGTGATGTGGAATTTGGTCCTGTATTTTAAAAGATGGTATGGCTTTTTCCTTTTGCTTACATTTTAATAAACAATTGCCCTAACTGCCATGTTTAGACATTATAAAGATTGATCTCTAAAATATTGTCAGGGTTTGTTCTGAATTAAGCATGTGTTAAGCTTCTCTAACAGAAAAGCCAACTGTAGAAAAATCTCAAGCTACTAGTCTTTTGGTCTTTTCTAACAGGTGTGGAGGCACACACCTGTAACCCTAGCTTCTCTGGAGGCGGAGGCAGGACTCCAAGTTCAGGACCAGCCTGTGAAACTCAGTGAGACCGTCTCAAAATAAAAAAGGCTGAGAGGCAGCTCAAAGGGAGAGCACCCCTGGGTTTAATCCCCAATAGCACATGCAAAGCAAGCAGAATGAATTAAGGCCAAAGCACTTAGGTTATCAGGCTTCGAGAACGCAAAGAAAGCTTTCTTTCTTTCTCACAGCTCAGTAGTGGAGTTTGCTAGGATTTCTACAGGAAATTTTCTTTAATAATACCTGTGACCAGCTGTTTTCCTCATAGTACAATGATTATTTTTGAGCTGTTACTCAAAGACTATCAGTTCTCAAACTGGGCTTCCTAATAGACTCAATCCCTGGATTTTATCTTTGATCATGTGCTAATGTTACATTTGTGTTCCTTTGAATCTCCATATAAACTTTAATTTTCCTGTTTAGGCAAGAATGATGTACTTTTATAAGAGTGGGCAAATGGTATAAAATAAAATAAGGTAGGATTTTTAGATGGAAAACCATTGCCACAAAGCAGGTGAAATCAGGAGATTTTATCTTTGACTTTTTTGTCTAAACATGTGCCTACCTGCTGGCCTGTCAGTGGCTTCCTGCCAAAACAGACCAAGTAAAATGAGGCAGTGATGGGACTTTCCTGCTGTGTGGTACAGATTTCTGGATGACTCTCTCATTCAAAACAAGGGGCAACCTGGTCATTAAACTTCTATCCCAACTCTCATGGATTGTGTTGTCGAATTTATTGGGAGCAGGAAACTGAGTGACACACCTAAGGTTAAAGGAGGCCATTATTTGTTTATCATTTATACTTAAGGTTTGGTTTAGAGCATTTTTGTGTTAACAGAAGGTATGTGTCTGCTTGACTGTTAAGAACTGATTTCTTTAGCTGGGCATGGTGATGCACACCTGTAACACCAGTGGCTAAGGAAGTTAAAGCAGGATCATGAGTTCAAAGCCAGCCTCAGCAAAAGTGAGGACTAAAGAACTCGGTGAGACCCTGTCTTTAAATAAAATACAATAGGGCTGGGGATGTGGCTCAGTGGTAGAGTGCTTACCTAGCATGTGTGAGGCACTGGGTTCAATTCTCAGCACCACAAAATAAAGGTCCATTCACACTTCACACACACACACACACACACACACACACACAAAAAAAAAAAAAAAAAAAGGGCTGGTGATGTGGCTTAGGTCAGGTCAGATGCCCCCGAGTTCAATCCTGGGTACCGGGGAAAAAACAAAACAAAACTGATTTCTTTGATGAAGGACTCGATACTTTGGTGCATTCCATATACCAAGAGAAAAGAGAAAACCATATCATTTATCAGAACATAACACTCTAGCCATGACTTGAGAGGCTGAGGCAGGAGGGAACACAGTTTGAGGCTAGCCTCAGCAACTTAGGCCCTAAGTAATTTAGGTTGACCCAAAGGTAAAGCATCCTAGGTAAATCCCTAGTACAAAAACCTTCCACTGTTCCAACATGAATATTAATGTCTGCCTTCCACAAGGACGTGTAACACTGACATGACTGGGAGGTCTATTTCAAGCAGTGTTCATAGTTGTCATTAGAGCCATAGGTTAGCAGTTATTGGATATCATCTTCCACTGTCAACACATGCACATACATACACACCCCCAAATTAGTAAAAGTTCTGTTAAGCAGATATATTTATTAAAAATAATGCTAATATAATCCTGGGCACATTGATTTCAAGAGGGTTTTTGCAGCAGATTTCATTGTAGTTATCAACTAAATAATAAAGGTTAGTGTTATTTTAACTTACAGAGTCACTAAATAATGAGAAAGGAAAGAGAGCTAATCCAGTAGAGACTGAAGCTGGTATCAGTCTTCTCTAAGCATCTGTTTGGTGGGCAGCCATGGGCAAAGCCTGTTTAAAGGGTTGGTCAGGACCCACAGTGATGTTTGCACTGAGTTGTTCCTGCACCTGCCACGGTGCCAAAAGCAGAACCAAACAGCTTATTAAACTGTTCAAATTGTTAAAAATGATTAAAAGCCAGTTAAAGATTTTCATAAACACTATTTCAAAATGCTAGTTTTAAAAATGTTACTAGCAACAAATGCATTCCCCTATGTCCCCTCCCTCTCTCTTAAAATAAACTTCACACCCAATTTAAAAATTCTTTTAAGGGGGAACCAAAAGTCAACAATTTGAAAAGAAAGATGAAGAGGGGAGCAGACAGTGTGTAGCAGACGCTGGTACTGCTCGGGGGCTGCCGATGCAGGCTTTGGTGGCATTAAATCCCCCAGTAAGGCATCAGGTGTCGGGACTCTTTCTCGTAAACATCTGGAACTATGCCGTAAGGTGTCTGTACCATCTTAACTGTAGACTTCCCAAAGAGCTGTCGCTCGTAGTCTATCAGCTGCCTCCAGAAGCCCACGTTGGGCCGTATAACAGGCCTCCGGGCTTTCACCCAGTTGTACGCCTCCAGCAGGCACACGTTGTGGAACTTCATCAGGTAGGCAATGCAGAGAGTGGCCGAGCGGCTCACCCCTGCAGCACAGTGCACCAAGGTAGCCCCATGCTTCCTGCTCACACTGTGGATCTTGTCAGCCACAGTGTCAAAGTACAGTCCGATGGGGGCATGAGGCATGTCAGCCAGAGGCACTTTGACGTATTCAAATTGGGGCCAGTTGAAATTGGGGATCTCAATGGTAGCATTAACAATGCAGGTGATGCCACGAGCCTGGAGGAGGTGCCGGTTGGAGGCCACACTGCCTCTGCCCAGGAAGAGAGAGGAGGTGATTTGAGCAATGCCTCCTACATCTCCCTCGGAAATCATCCGAGGAGCCATGAGAGTCCGTGGTAGTGTGCTGTGACCTCTGGAGCTCATGAAGATGCCAGCAGTCACACTTGCATCGTTGGGGTAAGACCAGAGTGTGTGGTTGTCTTCCACCAGGGAATCCTAAGTCACAATATCCTTCCTGCAAAATACAGGTATCTGTCAGTACTTCAAAAGCTATTGATGTATCACAGCCTTCTGCAGTGTTTCGTGAAGTAGGAAGGGGAAAGGGTGAGAAATAATTATTTTCTATAATAGAATGAAGAAAAATCATTTTCTATTGATTAACAGGTAGCCTAAGACCCCAATATGTAAAATCAACATAAAACTCAGCTCTAAGTGGAACTAGTCATCCTATTTTCAGAAAAGTTAAAGACAGAAGAAACAGGCCCAACTAGTTCCTGAAGAACCATCTTGCAGGGCCCTGCCCCTACTAAAGGGAATGGCATTCCACGTTGATTAGAAATCAGAAATTTTCATCTCCCGATAGTCATGTTCTCATACTTTGCCTACTCCCGCAGCTATGGTGGCTGTATTTTCCTAAATCTAATTCCAGACCCAGAGATCTTACAAAAGCAAAAATGGACCTCACATTAGATTAAGTATTTAGTGATCCACCTTTATAGACTAAAAAGATACTGAATTGGATCAAAACAGAAAAGCCAGATCACCTCATTCCTTTATTATTAAAAACAACTATTTCCTATCATATTTGTGACACATGAACACATTGGAAATCCAATTACATTTGGGTAATGTGCTGTGGCATTTCCATGGAAAAAATCCTAGGCAATCTGAAGGCCATGGTCTTAAAAGTTCATTCCTATAAATTAAATGGGCGTCTGACCTGACCTGACCTGACCTGATCCTGGGTAGAGCTAAATGGTAACTACCTTCCTCGGCCAATTCTAAGCTCTCAAGTGAATCCTATTAGCTTCAAATATATTGGAACTAAAATTAATATAGTTCACTCTCATGAGTACATGCTTACTATAAAGAGTATTAATAATCACAGAAAAGAAAACTATTAGTTTCTTGAGATTTTGGGTGTATCAGTTTCTCTCATTGCAAAGTCACAATGCTTTATAGTCTGCCCACTGGGAAGTATATCATGCACACCTAGATACCACAGGAAGACTATAGTGCTCAATATGACAAAAGCATCCCCAGGTTCTACAGAGGTAATGCTGCGGCCACTCACTTGCTGCAGAATCCTGTAAATGCTGGAGCCCTTGGTCTGGATCCAGAAATTCTTAGGTGAGCAGTGCTGATTACAGTGGATAAAATTCAGATCTGCAGGAAGACAAGGAAGCAAGGACACAGCCTGTCAGGAAGTTCACAGAATTTCCCCTGGGGCTAGGAATGGAGCTCAGTGGTAAAGGGTTAGCTTAGTATGCGTGAGGTCTTGGGTTCAATCCCCATATTGAGGGGGAAAAATTCCCCCTGGGTTTTTACTACTAAATCTAGTTTGACTGGAATAAATTTAGGAAGCAGAAGTCCTCCTAAATATTGCATCCAAAGAATGCACTGCTAAGAAATATCAATCTAAAGCCAGGTGCAATGGTGCAAGCCTATAATCCCAGCTGCTTGGAAGGCTGAGGCAGGAGGATCACAAGTTTGACATCAGCCTCAGCAAATAGCAAGACTGTCTCAACATATGAGCTGGGAATGTAACTCAGCAGTAAAGGACCCCTGGGTTCAATCCCCAGTACTAAAAAAAAGAACAAGTCAACCTAAGTCTCAGCTTTTTATTAGTAACCGTGGTGTATAAATGTTTAATACAATAATTCAGAGACCATATCAATGAAATGTAAAACACTGCAGAATGCCCCTTTCACTAGGTCTGTAAAAGATGCAAAATTGATCCAGTTTCTTCCTGGTACCCTCAACTAACCCAGGAGAGTGAGGATCTGGGCTGGATACCACATCGGGCAGAAAGGCTATGCAAGATGCAAGGAAAGATGAGCAGACATGTGACTAACAGTGGAGGACAATACAGGGAGATCTAAGATGGGGGAGGAGGGGAATGGCCAGGAGTGTTGTCTTTGAACACGGCACTGAGGACAGTTTCACAGGCAGCAGGGCTTTAGCCACCAATGCCAGCTGCAAGCAATGATGGTGTTCAGGAGAGCAAATTCCATTTTGTTTTCATGTTAGCCTTCTTATTTTACTCATTTATGTAACAATATGATGAGAACCTGTGAACATCATAAAAAATGTGTTCTTCTCACTTGGTCCCTTGCCTTTCCCAGGTAAGTATCACTTTAAATTTTTTTATAGCATTGTGGAGGTGTAAATAACAGACAGCTGTGTGATTTAATCAACTTGCTGAGTTTTGACATATAGATATACTCAAGACACTGTGACCTCAAAACAATCCCCCCCAAGTTCATATTCCTTTATAATTCACTCCCTTACCCTTTCCCTCATTTTCAAGCAACTTTTGATCAGTTATTTGTTACTACAGTTTGCATTTTCTAGACTCTAGATCCCGCCTCAAAAAAACAATAGGTTAAAAGAAAACCTGAAGGGCTGGAGCTTAGCTCAGCAGTAGTGTGCTTACTAGCACACATTAGGCCCCAAAGATTTAAAAAAAATATATCAAAACATGGTTATATCATTATAATGCAGTCTTCAAACTATCAAAATCACCTGGAGGGCTTGTTAAAACATGGATCATTGGGCCCTGCCCCAATCTGATCCAGTACATCCAGAGTGGGGCTCAAGAATCTGCAATACCCAGGTAATGCTGAAGCTACTGGCTAGTGACACACACTGAGAACAACTGCAGAAGTAGCTGGGGTGGGGCGCTGCAAGATCCCCTATTCAAGACTGAGGCATAAGAGTGCTGTATCTGACAGCTCCTAGTATCAGTGCTGGCTCACCCAAGGTTACACCCCTCTGTGGGGGCCCTCACCAGATGACTAATTCATGCACAGGGGTACAACCAGGGCTGCAGGTAAAACTGCATCATGAGGAGGCACAAGGAGGTAGTCACATAAGGAAAGGTGTGTTATCGCTTCTCGGCCTTTTGGCTAAGATCAAGTGTAGTATCTGTTCTTATCAGGAAAGGTGTGTTCGGTGTAAAACATGAACAGGACAGTAACTTAGGTGAATACATGCTTCCCTACAGCAGAACACTCTTTCCTGGCAGTTTAAAAAGCAAAGTCACTGTGGTAACAAACACAAAATTAGGCCTTCAAACTGCTGGGGACTCTCTCCTCACTGAAGAAAATCTGGAAGATGCTAATCAAATATTCAAGTAGGTTATTTGGTTTTCTAATTAGGAAGGACTTGGTTCTGTGTCCTCCCAGATAATTATACCGACTGGAAGTCATCTGCCCTCCTGAGCTGGGTGCCCAGGCTCACTGGCCTTTTCTGCAGAAAGGGCTTCATGAGGGACCATGGCTGTGCAATGGAGGGCTGGAAGCCTGGCTGCTTCAGTTACCTCATTCGTTGAACAGTGATAGGGTATTTGGTGCTGCAGGGAAAACAGACTGTGAGTCCTTAGGGCAGAATCCAAGTGAGACAGACAAGATGCTCCATCCCTGCTGCTGCTAGTCAATCTGGTGCCAACAAATCTGCTTAAAGTGCCAAAGCTGGTCCACAGTTTCAGAAAAACAACTTCTGCCAGAGAGCACTCAGAGGGCAGATACTACAGATGCTCCTCTGACAGATCCTCTTGACCCCCTTTACAGACTGGACAATACCAGGTGAGAAACAGCAAGATGACTGCAACTTGGAGAAGACAAGCTTTTAAAAAGACAGGAAAAGATCCAAGGTGCTCAGTTTCTAGCTCTAGACCACACGTCTTCTCTGTGGATGGTGTGGGGCAGCTGTGCCCTCATTACCCAGCTTGCAGGGTTCTAACACCACCAGTCAGCACCTGCAGTGCCACAGAGGGGTCTTGTACCTGCCTAAGAACATGTTTAAATGCTACTTACAGAAAAAAGACTAGGCCCAGATGGGCGGAGGTGTTCCAGTTTTATCTAGTGTCCAAAATAGAGAGCTGCCACAGCCACCTTTTGGTCACAGACAGACTTCCTCACAGCAGAGGAGGAGTCCAGGAACAGTCCCAGGATGGTCACAACAAGAAGCCCTAGTTTGGTCCATTTCTAAGATTAGCAGAACTTGATCATAAAGAAATTTCTTTAAAAAAACCCATGGGTATTACATCACAGTTGCATCAAAATCAACTTAGTAAATGTGTACCAGAAGACAGAAAGGAGATCTATTAGGAGAGTCTGGCCCATATCTGAGAGATAAAAGATGGCATGGTGCTCTGAGAGAACATGACACTCGTGCTACAGCACAATGGTGTCCGGGATGAGGGTGGTCAGAGGACACAGAACATCCATGCAGCTCCAAGGTGTTCAACTGCATTCACTTCTTGGAGGGAAAAATGCTTTCCTAGCCAGGAGGATGGAGGTGAGGTAGTATTAAACACAGAAAGGAAGAGCTGTCCTACACCAACCCCAGAAGGTTAGGGGGATTTTTAATTATTGCTTTTTGGATTTTTTTTTTCTAACAAGCTATAAGAAATGTCTTGTCAAAATGATGCTGAGGACTGGTATTGTGACTCAGTGGTAGAGTACTTGCCTGGCACGTGTGAGGCACTGAGTTCAATCCTCAGCACCACATAAATAAATAAAATAAAGTTACTGTGTCTGTTTATAATTAAAAAATACTTTTTTAAAAATGATGCTGAACTCTTAGAATAATAAGCATCAAGCATTAAATGCTAACCAAAGTATAGAATTAGTATCTGCCCAGCCACCTATAATCTCAATAATCCATAACCTACCAGCTGCTTGCTCTCTTTGGTACAAGAGCACCAGTCCTGAGGTTAGCACCAGCATCCACACTGATGGTGCCTCTGGGAAGTGCTATCTGGGGTCCCAGCCTATTCACAGCATCCACCCCAGTGCCATCAGGGGCTACTTTTCCTTCTTTTTCTCTAGATAACCACCACTAGAATCAGCAGTTAAAGAATTAAAATTCTACTTACTGCTTTCTCTTCTCATGTTGAACAAGCAGAAAATGGTCACAATGGTGCCAGAGAATATAAAATTATCTAAAATATTTTTGGCTTTAGGAATTTCAGAGGGTCAGAATACTAGAGGTTTACACCGTCACTATTTTATACTGAGAAAAGCTCACGAAATCACATTTTCTCCTTCCATTAATGCATAATTCTTTTTTAAAAAAACAAACTGCATGGTGGCACACATCTGTAACCCCAGCTACTCAGAAGGCTGAGGCAGGAGGATCACAAGTTCAAGGTCAGTCTGGGCAACTTTGCAAGACCCTGTCTCAAAAATAAAAAGGATTTAGGATGTAGCTTAGTGGTACAGCACCCCTGCTTCAGCTTCCAATATGGCATGCATAAAAAAATAAACAAACACCTTGAAGTCATTCTTTTTAAAAAAGAAACATTTTAGCCTGTACTGTCATAACATTACTTTTTAATTCACTGTCATTATTAAATCAGAAATGTATTCCACTGGGGGAAGAGTTAAGATATTCACTCTTATAAAATAAAAATAAAATCACAATGTGGCAATCGTTCATTAAAGAAAAGTAACTTTCTGATAGAACATTAAGAATAAAATTCAGGGGCTGGAGTTGTGGCTCAGTGGTAAAGCACTTGCCTGGCATGTGTGAGGCTCTGGGTTCTATCCTCAGCACCGCATATAAATAAATAAATGATCAATTTACAACTAAAAAATATAGGAAAAAAAAAAAGTCAAACAAATATTGACTAATATTCATGTCCAAGTAAAATGAAGTAAAAGATATTCACCAATTGTCCTCAGACACCTGAAAAGCCTCAGCGGTTGGCTGAAGCAGCACAACATCTTATATTTGAAGACAAGGCCACCCATCAGATTAATTAACTGATATGTTAGTGTTTGGACATGAAGTTAAATACACATCATACACATAAAGCTAAAGACTGAAGAGTACCATTTTTGTTTAGCCACATCCTCCCCCAGTGTGACACATAGCTACCAAGCAACTGCCTATGCAGTGGTGACCAACCTGCCCATCTCAATGACCACAAGTGGACTCTAACCCCTTAACATGACACTTGCTAAACTTAACAAAAGCCCATCATTGTAAGATACCAGCCAGCTGATGGATGTGGAACATGCCACAGTCCAAAGGAGGAGACAAGCTGGCCACATCATGAGCACAGGAGAAAGGAAAAAACAAAAAAAAACATGCCAAGGCAGTGATTTTAAGAACTTAGTTCCACATGATAAATTCATGTATCTTCCATGTTGGAATAG